GAAAAAAAAAAAATTTCTTGCCAGGATGTCTGCACGAGCTTCGTGCAGAGCCCCTGAGCTGCATGGAGCCTGGTGCATTGCTCTGTGGCTGTAGGGCAGCAAACGAACTCCTCAGAGGAGTTTTAGTTTGCTGTGCCCCAAGTTATTTAAGGCACATTATGCCACCAAATCTGCTACAGCAGCTGGAATTATTATGCAATATGCTGCCGACATGTGCAAATACCAACACCATTAAAGTGGTGGAAAAGCACTTCACTCGCTTTCAAGTGTCATGCACACATGCCCCTCATTTTGTCTACAAACAGCCTATAAGTGACTAAACTTCTGAATTTTTTTTATGGCTCCTAAATTTCTTATCCTCCAAGAAATAGAAGGGACAAATGCCAAGGGACAAATCCTTACTGAATTCCTAAATGATATCTTAGCTATTCTCAAAAAGCTGAGCAAATGTCACCATAACATGATCTATCAAAAATTTTACATTGAACTTCATGGTACATAAAGATCAAAACAATCCAACTTTTCTATTTATCAAATAGTAGTTGATATGTCATTCCACTAAAGAAGCTATATTGCATGCACAGTGCAGCCCTTAATTTTTCCTCCATATAGTTCCTGGAGCAAATTTCAAAGATTGAGAGGCTAAGAGGAAAAAAAGATGCATCCTATCAGTTCCTCAGAACTACCTATTTTGAAACATATTTAGCTGGCTAGCTGTATCATTTTCCAATTTAGAAGGATGTGACCCAAGTGTGGAGGGCTTTCATATCCTGTATAAATGACTGTCAAAACTAAATAGCTAGAAACTATCCTGTAATGGATTACAGTCGACATGACACCACTGAATGCTTTCTGAATTTCTACACTATAAATACACATCCCAGTTGAGGGTTTGGAATTGATAAACAAACAAGAAAAAAAATGGAAACGAGAAAGCTATTAAATCTGTTAAGGCCACTGAGTCAATATCAGTAACTGTACTAATGCAGTTTTCAAGCTGTATAAAACAGTCTTCTCAGTCTATCAAAACATAACAAAATGAATCTTCAACCCGTCAGTTCTTGCTGCCTTGGACCCTTTGTGGCCAGGGTGTCAAACATATGACCTGCAGACAGGATACAGCCTATGGACACAGTCCCAGCTGCCTTTCAGCCACTTAGCTGGTTATCGCTGCCATGGCCCTACCTCACTGCTTACTCGCTCCCACCATGTGCCCCATGCTGGAGCTACAGCTCTTGCTGTGCCAGAGGGTATGTAGTGGTAACAGGGCCAGCTTCATCACAGGCTGCACAGCGAGGGCTGAAACTGCTGCTGTATTCTCTGAGCTGGAGCCGCAGTTTCTGCCACTGCTACTAAGTGCGTCAGTCTGAAGACAGAGCAGTTGCCACCATGGCTAGGGACAGATGTTTAAAAATCCAGAGCCTAAATTGATACAACCATTGCAGGTTAGTCTAACCTGCCTAGGCTGAACTGGTTTGTAACAGGACAAACATTCTCTCTGGTCTGAGGCAATGCAGACACAAGCCTGCAGTTGCTCAGACCAGGTGCTGGGGGGTGCTAGAGTTCACCCTCCAATGCAGGGAAGTTTGCTGGGGAGGGTGTGGCCAGTCCGGGTTGAACTGGCTAGAGAGGGGCTTAATCCCCCGTCTCTGTCCCAATGGCAAGGACGCAACCTAGGTCTGCTGGGCTCTCCCCTTTCACTGCAGCAGCAGCCAGGCACCATGGCCCCTGAGGCAGAGGGGGCCAGGGAGGAGGATTAGTCTCCCCTCTACCTGCACTGGCAGCCGGGTCTGCCTGCTGTCACCGCCATGCTCGCTCCCTGTGGTGGAATGAGCCCCCTACCATTCCCTCCGTAAGACGCCAAGGGAGGGGGAATAACCCCATCCCTGCCCCCACAAGGGGCCCTGCTGGCTGGGGTCTGGCTGTCCGCCCTGCTGCTGCAGCAGGAGGGGGCAGGGCCTTTGATGGGGGCAGCAGTCCCTGTCATAATGTTGGAAAGTACAAGCCCCTTCCTGGTGGGGGTGCTGTGCTGCAGGCCAGGCAGAGCTGTGGTGGGCTTCATGCAGCAGCACTGGGGTCCAGAGGGGGCCAGAGCTCTCCAAGCCCCCTGCGGCACCACCACAGCCCATAGCAGCTTTCCTCACCCTGCAGCGCAGCCCCCCACCAGGAAGAGGCTTGGCTTGGGGAAACTGTGACAGGGGCTGCTTCCCCCATCACAGTCGCTCCCCCCTTGCCACTCCAGTGGCAGGGGTGGGGGTGGGGCCAGATGTCACCAGCAAGGCCCCTGGGGGGCGGGGAGCGGACTTATTTCCTGCTCTGCCTCCGGGGCACTGCAGCTGTGTCTACCTGGCCTGGTTGCAACCGCCACTCGGTCTGCACTTGGGACAGAATAAGCCCCTCTTGCCAGCTGGGGGCTGGCCCCAAGCATAGACCGAGTGGCCGCTACAGCCAGGCTGGGCAGACCCAAATCAGTTTCTTCTAGTAGGGAGAAATAAGTGCAGCCAAACCCCCAAAAGGTAACTCCTGTGTCATTCAGGCGATGCCCTTGAAATCATGTAATTCTTTCATAAAGTTTGAGAAATCCATCTTAAAGCTCCCAATGCTCCATTGGATGGTTGTCCCAGATCCTCTTTGTACTGATGTCTGGAAACTTTCTAATGTTCAGTCCAAATTGATTCACAGCTGGTTTGCTGCTTGTGTCAACTATGTTCTTTAACTGAAGCAGTCCTCTTCCCATGTCACCTTTACCTCAACCCTGGTGTTTAATCCCTGATATATTTACAAACAGCAATTATATCCCCTTTCACATTTGTCTTACTAGCCTAAACAAGCCACACTTTTCAGTCTCCTTTTATCTGATAGGATTTTCTTTACTTTCAGCATGCTATCAGCTCTTCTCTATAACTGTACAAGTTTAAATTCAGCTTTCTTAAACATGAATGACTAAAATTGTATGCCGTTTTCCAGATGATGTCCACCAGTGACTGTCTACTATAGGGGTAGGCAACGTTTTTTGGCCAGAGTGTCGAAAAAACCACAATGTCTACTTTGGAAGGTGCCGGAGTGCTGACATGCTGGAGCCCGGAGCAGCTGTTTGCAGCCTCTCAGCTGTAGCCAGCCCATGGAGCCCAGTCTGCTTGCAGCAGGGCTTGCAGCCTCCCAGCTGCCTCCTGGGAGCAGCCTGGGCTCTGTGGCTGGCAGCAGCTGCTGAGAGCCTGGACTGGCGGTGGTGTGCTGAGCAAAACGGCCTTGCTCAGCATGCGTGCCGGGGGTTGCTGACCCCTCCTCTAGTACCTCTCCTATATATGTTTGGATTGCATTTGTCATTGCTGCATCACACTGGTAGTTCTTGAGTATTATATATAGAGTTTCCTCCTCCGCCATCATTTCCAACTAATGAGCTCCCAAATTATAGCAGAAATTCCTGCAATCAGTCCTTAAGTACATGATCTTGCATTTTGTACTATTAAATTTTATCCCATTTTTTTTACACCAACTCTGACTATCTTTCTGTTCTTTCTCTGTGATATTTCAATCCACCTCTGTATTCACAATGTCCCTCAGCTTTTTTCATCACAAAATTGCTTTAACACATTCCCCATTTTGTGCCAGTCATTAATAAAACAATTAAATAAGATTGATCCCAAGACTAATCATTGATGAACTCCATTAGTAATTTCGCTCTAGCCTAATAGTTTTCTTCCAGTACAACCCATTGCCATCCCCTCTGTAACCATCACCTTACATACCTTACAATTCTTGTATTAATTCTCATTTTCTATACCCTAACTACAAATTTCCTGTTTGGCATTGTATTGAAAGCTTTATCGACTCCCTCAAAATCTGATCTCCTGCATTCCTTTTGTCTAGAAAACCAGTTATCTTATTAAAAATAAACAGAATGTCTCTTTTGTCTTAATGGTATATTTAGCCATAAATTAATTATATGACTGGATCTTATCTTAAGTACTATTCCAAGGTTATTTCTGCAATGCATCAAGTAAAGAATTTATACAGATAGATTTGCAAGATAATTACAATACTTACTATATTGGCAGTTTCTTCCCATAAATTCACCAGGACACTCACAGGAATAATTGGCAACAAGATCTGTACAAATTCCACCATTCTTACAGGGTTCAGCTTCACATTCATTTACATCTAGAGAAACAGAGAGTCATGATTACTACAGAAACCTTTTAAAAGTTCTCAGCATGTTTTAAACAGAAAAAAACCCAAATGTTTTCTGAGGACCCATATTAGTATTTTAGTAACAGCAAACATTTTGGTAATAGTAAACATGTTCAGAAAACAATGCAAACTACGCAAAATATAATCAAAGCAAAAGTATCTTAAATAGATCTGCTCTAGTATAGAATTGGCTAGTTTCACAAACACATTACTTGTTTGAAATGTCCTACTGAGTAAGAGAATAAAAAGCTAAAACGTGGCCATAATGGCAGAAAAAGTTCTGATCCCAGGGCTATCTTTCTTAGTTATGCACTTGCTTCAGGGAACAAGTAATTTGCATCATAATTTACCTGACAGAAATCACTTTTCCTCTGCATTAGACAGATGAAACTTTAAGACTCCAACCTTTCCTCCCGCCTGCCCCTTCCTACCCCATGCATTCCATGCCAACCTATGTGGAAGGGAAATAAGCATCCTGTGCCATGATCCTTAATATGAGTCTGAAAAAAAAAGGAGTGAAGCAATACTTACTCTCCCTATTTCCCTGTTCTCTTTTTTTTCTGTATGGGTACAGACTACAGGTCACAATTAGGCTCTAAATAAATAAATCCAATGAACCCGAACAGAATAGCTAATTAATACCATTTACAACTTCTCTTTCAGCAATAGATGTCACTTAAGAATGTCTCTCCGTTCATCTTAATCCATTAAACATCTAATTGACAGGTTTGTTACAGTGACTAAGTAATTCCCTTGCTGTGCATGCGTTAGCGGGGAAATTGGAACTAATAGCTTAATTCAGTAGCTTGCAAATTTATTGTAAGCTTGTGTTAAATTCAAAATATAGGAGCTAATTTCAGGAGTTTCTAGAGCTTTGTATAGCAAACTTTAACTGAAGCAGAAAGGGTGGCTTTATATTCCCCTCTCTCCTAAACCTGTAGCATACATTTGACAGGGAGTATTAAAAGAAAGAAATTAAATGTTGGTGATTCCCAATCAGAAAATATTAAAACATTTTGGGACATTCCCCTTACATATACCCTGTAAAAAAAAAGCTAAATGGTTATACCATTAAATTGAGAACCTATCTTTTACCTTATATTGCAGGACTAAAAAAATGTCTGAGAGAGGTTAGAAGAAACAACAATATCACAATTTACCAAAATTTACCAAAAATTCACCAATGTGTTTGCAGCCTAAAATGTATTTTCCCCTAAATATCAAGTGAGGAAGCTATGCGACTGATCAGATTTAGCTGAATGCTCTTTCCATGAGATATCAGGGTAGTGAAAGTTGCCAATGACAACCATGCACCAAGAGTGTTCAGACTCTGCCAGTTCCCTACCGAATTCATGGTCAAGCTCTTCTCCCTGGTTAGAAGGTCTGTACTAGACTCCTGTGGTTATATCCCCTTCACCCCCAGAGGGTGTCAAGTCATCCACCATGGGTGCTAATCTTTGCTTGTAGTGAAGTGTACTGCTCCTTCACGTAGAGAGCTACACCCCTGCCCTTCCTTGCAACATGATCCCTGCTGTACAAGGTATAGCCATCAATACCTGGAGTCCAGTCATAGGTGGAGTCCCACCAGATCTCCATTATCCCTATGAGATTATATTCATTTTTGCCTAGCAGAAGGGACCGACCTTCTGTTTGTTCCCCATGCTCTTGGCATTTGTGTACAGGCAGCTAACCCTGCCATCAGAAGCCCTGGGCTTCCCTGTCCTCTTAGAAGAGTCCCATCCTTGGGCTGGGGTAGGAGTGAGTTCCCTTGTGTTACCTGACCTGCTGATTTGGTGACTGTCACTTCCAGGACTTGTATTAGTGATTGTCCACTCACCCCCCAGAGATCATAATTTAAAGCAAGTCAGCCATTGTGACCAAGAAGAGCTTCTTTCCCATTGGGTGCTTCAGTGTGGGGGCTGCCTGCTGGCGAGCTCCATGCTGAAGCACCCTTGTGCCCCACCCAGCCCCTCCACAGCATGTTGAGTCAGGTTGGAGCAGCCCCAGGCTGCCAGGCTGATCACCAGACTCTCTGCCAGCTGGAGCTGCTTTGACCCAGCTCAACATGCTGCAGTCCTGCACACACGTAAGTACAGCCTCCAGGAGCAATAAACTTTGGCACAATATGTGCCAGAGTTTATTGCTTCACACTTTGTACATGTAGGTACATTTACTAAGGACTATATGGCATAGACTACTTAGTACACAATATGCAAAGACGCTAAATTTCAACAGTCTGCTCTTGTGCTTTTATCTATAAACAATTCAGAAAAAAGATTATTGGAATCAGTTTCATGATGGAGAAAGAAAATATTGTGAGATGACTTTTAGCGGTCTTACTGCACACAGTAATACAAGCATAACCCTTTCACATCTTGATTATATGCAGAATGGCACAGAGCCACATGGTTTCCCATATTCTGCATTTTACCCTATCTAAACTAGCTTAAAAACATTTAGAGGGGAAAGAGTTCTTTGTTGACTATGTTTACGATCCTTTTCCTAGTACTTACATTAAATTAATTGCATTCATAACACATGGCATGGCTACACTTCTTTTTAACACGAGTACATAAAAAATGTAAATGCAATCTTGAAATTTCCCCATTTTCTTTTTTTTAAAGGTAGAAATACATTTTGTTTAAATCCAGTGCATCTGGTAGAGGATCTAGAAGTCCTCTCCCACACATGTATCCTATTCCATTTTGGAAGCTATGCATACATCGAAGTCTCCGTTTAGAATCCACCCCTGGCCACATGCAAATAGTCTGCTGTGCCTTTTATAGATCAGCAACAATTTTTGGAAGGCTGAGAGTCATTTTCACATTGAAGGAGAAATTGATAACATGAAGCACTGATGTAGTTTATTTGTTTATAGCAAGAACACAAATCCAGATTCCTTGAACTGAGCTGGTCACAATTTTCAATGGAAAATACATCTTACAAAACCTCATCTCAAGTATTATCACTTCTGTTTTACTGATTGCCTTGAACTTTGTCTGTCTTGGACTCTTCTGAAATTTCAGTTTAAAAAATGCTCCCTATCCTTGTTTCAAACTGATGGCTGTATTGAGAAACCTGCTATTGCAAGCTACTCACCTATGGCCATATTGAAAGATGGTCCTAGTGTCATGTCACACATTAAACTTAGTATGTATTAAACTTGCTTAAAATGTGAGCAACCATGGGTTCAAGCAGTAAAACACATGCTAAGTACAACACAACAGGGAGTGATCAAATCCAATAGTTAGCATGAAAGATGCTTACTGAGATGTTCTGGAGAAATGGATAAGACTGCTAAATGTGCACTATGGCAAACAAGCAGTTCATGAACAGTTAGGTTAGAGGTATCCTGAATTCCCTCCTATCTAGCAGAACGTTATCCTAGATAGTCATCAGCCAAGGCTTCTTTGATCAGAACAGCTTGTTGGTGGTTCTGTATGAGACATTTGGCTAGGAAAGCTGCTTCAGCTCAGGCCCCATCCAAAGTGTCAGGGGCTTCCCCTGAGGTAACTCCGTCCAGAGCTGCCTTGGTTTCCCTTGCTTTGTACGTATTGTGGAGGATGCAGGCAGCAGCCATGAAACTGGGAATATTTCTCAGCCTGAGTTCAAGGCAGACCAGCCAGTGGCCTTTAGGTGCCCAAAGATGCATCCCTCCACCATTTGACGGCTGCTCAACTGGTATTTGAAGATCTTCTTTTTGGAGTCCATCCAAATGGTGTACAGCTTCATGAGTCATGGGGGAGCAGCAGGTGGCTGGGTCCCCAGTAATCAAGGGGGGAATGGTCAGATCACCAAAATCCATGGTGGGAGCACTGAGAGCAAACTCCTCCTTCTTCCTCCACTCCATCATCTCCAGGAAACTGGAGTTCCTGAATATGAAGGCATTGTGGACTCAGCCTGATCACTCAACACTGATGTTAGTGAAATACCTGAAGTGCCCCACAATTGCCTAGAGTATAACTAGGGTCACCATACATTCCAGACAAACTGAGACAGTCCCAGCTTCCACAGTCTGGTCCTGGCCTGTTGGTCAAAAGCCCTGGAGTCGACTCCAGCAGAGATGTGAAGTGGCATAGTGTGCCAGACAGTTGGGCAGGCAGGCACAGTTCCTGCTGGGCAGGAGCAAGGTTGGCAGACTGGATCAGGTGGACTGGCTTGGACTATGGAAGCCAGTACTGCCCCAGTTCGCTCAGGATATATGGTCACCCTAAGAATAACTAAAAAGAACCCCTTATGGTTTATGTAATCTGAGGTGCGATGAAGGGGGTACAGAATAGGTGTGTGGATCCCACTGATGGTCCGCAAGCAATTCATGAAGGCTATCTCTTTGAATCCATCAATGAACTCCTGTAGGTCCCTGAGCCAAATCAACTGTAGGTCCCAGCTCAAGTATGGCATTGTACATTTCATGCATGGCCATTATCACCATTGATTGCAGTGTGCATCAATTTCCAAATTACCAGGGCCACATCTCTCCACACCCTCTACCACATCCAAATTACATCTCTCAATGAACAGGGAGTGCCAAAACCCAACATCATTGTGCTGCAGAGGCCAGCTCAGCCCACAGATTGATGAATGTGTCATGAGAAATCTTAAAGTTCTGCTGCCACTGTTCATCATCCCAGGTTTCAAGCATGAGCTGCTCTTACCAGTCTGAGCTCATGAACAATATCCAGTAATAGGCTGACACCAGGCCTGCAGTGCTGCAGCTTATCTGTCATTGTGTTGTGCCTCCTCCAAGTGGGCTAACATGATGCCCGTGACAGCATCATGGTCCTCAAAGGACCACCAGGGCTGGAAGCTTTCACTGCTGAAGCACAAAGTACCTGTAGATGACAATGGCCAAGGAAAGGATTTGTTTGGCTTTTCTACTTGTCATCTCCAGAAAGCCACTGCAGATCCAATCCCTGGAACAGTTGTTCAAGGGGGAATTCGAATACATCTCCTCAGTGAGAGACCTGGCC